GTTTCCCAGTGGCTGCTGGGAAGGGCTGAAGGGCTCAGGCCTGGCTCTGGAACAGGTTCCTTCTAGAATAGGCCAAGGCCCTTACTGGGGGACCTGTGACATGGAGGCAGCATCTAGCAACACCCTCTGCCTTTTACTTTTTTCAGTTGCCAAAAACACCTTCACGTCTCCCAACTCTCCAAGCCTTATAGCAACTTGAGGCAGCCAAGGCAGAGGGGGCCATTCCTGCCTGCCCATTAGGACACTGAGGGACAGGAAGACAGAGATGGCCACGGCTGGGGTAGGGCAGGATTTTCATTTCCTCATCTGTAAAGAAGATGGCACGATCAGACTGTGCAGGGAGCTGAGGAATGACTGTTCTGTGAAGCCATGACCCCACTTCCCTCCCTAAGTTCAGTCCTGGCCCAGGACTGCAGAAGCAGGGCTGCGGCCCAGGCCACCTGGGTCTCCCGCTGGGTCTCTAGACTTCTAAGGCTGGCCGTGAGGGAGTCTGAGAGAGCGGAGCCCTAGACTACTGCAAGCAAGGTAGCTTCCAACTGGGAACCAAGGCACAGCCTCACCCACAGCAGGCTGCCCAAGGACTGCACTCAGAGACTCCACAAAATTTTCAAGCTTATAGTCCCTCCCCATTCAATCCTGCTCCACCTACTACCAGTTACCAAATCTCTCTGGGGCTCAGTTTCCTCATCTGCAGAATCAGTGAGATACTCCTACCTTGTCTACCCCGAGGCCGTGAAACAACACAGCCGAAACTTCCCTACAAAGCACCAGTGCTAGAGCCCTTCCCTTCACTCTGACACTGTGCCCCCCAACTGTAGAGAACTCCAGTTCTCTAGCTAAGCACTTCCCTCTAGACCAGCCAGCCGTTCTGACCCCTTCACACCATGGGGGTCTCCTGCCCAATGACACACACACACACACCCCTTTGCTGACTCCAGCCTGTCTCGGGCCCCTGCTGAGCAACCCCAGCACAATAGGGCTCTTGTATTCCCTACCCCTACCAGGTCCCAGCCTCTGGCAGGTTCCCCCAACCCACCCGCAGAGCTCCACAGCAGCCAGAGTTCCTCACCACTCCCTCCTTAACCCTCTTCTCCTTGCAATCCCTCCACTCTCTCCACCCTCACCCCTTCCGAAGAGCTCAGTCCCAGGCTCCCCTCACCCCTGACTCAGAGTGCCTGGCTGTATTCTCAAGCCCACCCAGGTCCGACCCAGGTCGCAGCTCTCTCCCGCAGCCCTGGACCCTTCAGGTAAAAAAAAAAAATGTGCTGGGGCGCCTGGGTGGCTCAGTTGGTTAAGCGACTGCCTTCGGCTCAGGTCATGATCCTGGAGTCTCAGGATCGAGTCCCGCATTAGGCTCCCTGCTCGGCAGGGGGTCTGCTTCTCCCTTTGACCCTCCTCCCTCTCATGCTCTCTGTCTCTCGTTCTCTCTCTCTCAAATAAATAAATAAAATCTTAAAAAAAAAAAAAAAGTGCTAAGTCAATTCACAATAAGGTACCGGTGGGTTGATAATGTATTTTAAAGAAGGCCAAGGGTGAGAAGCTTTGCCCAAAGGAGTGAATGACTACTGAATGTATTGTTAGGTCCCAAGGCACCAGTATAAGGGATATGTTGTACGGACACTCCTGACGCTCCCCATACAGGAACCTACGCATGACACTGGTCCTAGGACAGGCCAGAGCTTAAGAAAGATTTTTATCTCTAACACAGAAAATAAAACCGACTCCTCTCTGTTTTCAGCTCGCTAAGTTTTAGACAAGGCCCTATGGCCGGCCACCCCCTCCAACTGCCCTACCCTTATTGCTGCAGCTGACTTGTGTTGCTCAGGGCTCAAGCCACCTGGGAGACGGACTGGGGGAGGGGAACAGGTTCCAGGGGATGCTGATGCCCCAGGCCTGGGAGCTACACTGGCCTGTAAGATGCTCCTCCCAGATTCAGCCAGAAGCAGTCGTGGATCCGGGTAAGAGGAGACCGCTGACCTCATAGGACAAAGGTTGATAGGGAATCTCAAGTCAAAGGGGAAGGCTCCTGAGAGGTTTGCATCACTTCCCCCAGGCCAAAGGATCTCCTGACCACCTGGCAAGTAGAAGCGCTCTGAATCGCCACCAGCACACTTGAGGGGGCGGGGTCCAGGCCCAGCTGTCCTACTTACTGGATCTTGTGATTTTTCTGTAAGGCACTTTTTGTCTCCCCTCTCGTGTGCGAGGCACTTTATTATACCTACTATTTCCACTCCTTACAACCATGCAAGGAGCTATCCCTGAAACTTGCAGAGGTAGGATCTGAACCAGACCTACTTCTAAAGCCCAGGCTCTTAACCTCCAGGTGATTCTGCCTTAAGAAATGACACCAGAGGGCGCCTGGGTGGCTCAGATGGTTAAGCATCTGCCTTCGACTCAGGTCATGATCCCAGGGTCCTGGGATCGAGTCCCGCATCGGGCTCCCCGCTCGGCGGGGAGCCTGCTTCTCCCTCTGACCCTCTCCCCTCTCATGCTGTTTCTCTCTCGCTCACTCTCTAAAAAATAAATAAAATCTTTAAAAAAAAAAAGAAATGACACCAGAACAGTTAATTTTAGGAAGCAGACACTCCCCATACCTCAACTAGTGTGTGTACCATGTCTCTCCCCCACTTACCCCGGGGCTGATTTTAATTACAGACAGAGCTAGCTTGGGCAAGTAGAATGATGAGTAAATGGGAGGGGGGAGGGGCAGAGATTCTCAGAAAGCAGAACTCACCAAGGCGGGTCAAGCTAGTTGTAAACTTCACCTTCTCAGAAGCGAGGAGCTGGACCCAATGCTTACTTCTAGCTCTAGGATTCTAAGAGATGACTACTTTTAAAGAGAATTATTTTCTAAATTAAGAAACACAGGCACTCCTTGTCTGCTCATCTTCTCAGCTGAAGGAAAACCTGTCCTCACAGCGCTAGAGGAAGGCAGTGCTCAGGGGTGCCCGGGGTCAGCCACAGAAATGGGGTGCACACGGGCTCTCAAGAGCAAGTCTCCATGTAAAGCTGCCCATCTTTGGATGGAGAAGTCAGAGCCCAATTCCTTCCCTTCCCTTCCTGGGGCCCAGAGCCTTCACCCCTGGACTTTGAGCCGACGGCTGGGCCTTCCCTGTCCTGCTCACTGCTGTCTTCGCACCAAGCATTAGTTATCAGCACATCGGAGGTACAAAAGGTGTTGTATGAATCGGCATGTTGCCAACATGCCTGCAGTGTCCGCTGGGACTCAGTCAGCGGCAGAATTTCCCTACCTACCCGCCCCCTAGATGCTCAGAGCCCTATCTGAAGCTGAAGAACTACAGTAAAATCAAGAGGCTGGGAGATTCACTTCTTAAAACTTATTTTAATATCCTCCCCGCCCCCCCCCCCAAGTTGGGAAAGTTGAAAACAGTCTGGCTGGGTTCAATTACAAATTAATACACATTTTTTGTCATTGTTTAAAGTAAATCAATTGTGGCAATAAGGGATTATCCTTGGAAAAAGTGAAACCCATATTAACAAAATATGTCATGGAAGAACCCCACTTAGTGATTTCATTGGCTGTTTAAAAATCTAGAAAAAGTCAGCATTCTGTATGTTCTCTGGGGCTAGTCCATGTAGTGGAAGGAGGCCTTGCCCAGACTAAAGCAAGTCCAGTCAGCTCCAACCAGGTCCTAGACCCAAGGGAAGCGAGGAGAGAGGGCATCCCTTCTTCAGGAGGGCAGAGAAGGTAGATCAACAAATAAAGTCCTGCGGCTCCACTTACAAGCCCAGGGGGAGGAGGCAGGAAGTTAGAGGGGAAGGCTTAAAGATGCAGCATTCTTTCAATCTTAAAAAAAGAAAAGTTGGGGGAAAAAAAAAAGGTCTTGCAAGATCACTGAATGAGAAGAGAAAACAAGGAATAGAACTTAATACTCTGAGTCAGTCTCGACTCATCCATCTCTTCACGCATGCCACACACCATCCTTCCAGGGCGCTCAACCTTTGAGACCCATAGGGACTCTCTGCTTCCTAGCCTGAAAGTCATGGTTAGAAAAAGGTACCATACACATACATACACACGTATGTCACGTGTTAACGTGTGTATAAATACTTGCGATAAAATGGAAATCTGGAAGAAAAAATTTATCTGTAACAACTTGGAAAGCTGGGCGCACTGACGGCTCCCAGGCTGACTTCCTTCCATCCAGAGTTCCGCAAGACGGTACCTCCCCACCATCATCTCTCCAACTGGGATCCAACTACATCTTCCCCTAAGAGCACCTGGTACCGAGGGGAGTAGGGCAGGGCGGGGGGCACAAAACCAACACAGGTGCCAGCAAAAGTGTCCCCGGTGACATGTTTCACGCGTGAAAGAAAGACTCTGAGTTCTGTGAGAGCTCTCTAGCCTTCCTGACTTCCCTCCCCCTGCCCAGGGGACTCACATGCCTGGATGCTGCATCTTTAAATATTTCTGGCTCAGCCCTCTTGCCACATATGTCAGTAACATTCCAAGCTGGCTACCACATGCTCAGGCTCTGGCCTTCTCCCCTCTCTACTGTCGAGTGCTCTGCTGCTTCAAGGGCATGGTGGGGCCACGCATCTCCCATTTCAGCTCCGTCTTCAGTTGATCACACATCTCAGAAACAACCAAATGTAAGGGGGAAAAAAAGAGTTCCAAAAGAGTGTTCATATTCGAAATACCTATCTCCCTGGGATTTTTTTTTAACTCCACTTGATCAATCTATTGAAGTGAGACAAAGCGTGTGTGCACATGCACACACAGACACACACACCAGCACACACCCACGAAACGTAGAGGGCTGGAAGTTGTTTCCTGCCAAAAGATCTAACAGAGGAAAGCTTATGAGCTGATCAAGTTTTAATATTGCGGTTAACAAGAAAGATACACCATTTAGCAAGCACACAGAGACCACGGGGAGGACCTTCCGATCCCCAGAGCATATGGCTCCCCGGCCTATTTTCTGCCTACCTCTGGAACAGTTTTTGATAGTTACTACATTCAGAGAATCCAAGAGGACTGCATGGACAGATGAACCTTTATTTAAAAAAATAGCACTTCAAATAAATTAAAAGGGACAACCGTCAAGTGTTCAAATTGTGAAGAAAGAGTTGAAAACCTAGAGACTCCAAGCTGCGGGCTTCTAACCTCGTTCTTTGTCCGACGGCAAAGCCCCACACACCTCAGTCCTCCCACTTGACACCTTCCCTGCTGAGACGAGGGAAGCGACTGCAAACAGGAGACTGGACGGAGGAGAAAGCTGCATCTGACTGGAATGAACATTGCCACGTACTTGCTAATACGGGTTTCACTTTATGACCAAATGTATTCTTTCAAAAATAAAAAAGGGGGGGAGGGAAGCTGCATGTTTTTAAAAATTGAAATTATTTAGGGATAAAACACTAACTCTAGTGCCTTTAACGGGCAATAGCAACTTTTTTCCTCCGAAGTCAAACACCATCCCCAGCTGAGCCTTTGTGCTACAAGCTTTTCAGGAGATGTTACCTAAACTTTATTAAAAGAAAAGAACAAGTTTAAATATAGACACTGGACTAGCCCAGTCTGTATTTTCAAGTCCACATTCTTCATCTGAAGCACTGCATCAGGGACCCCCCCTGAGTCTGCATGTTTTCAAGTTCACAGTACATGGAACCAGTTTTTCTTTTTAATTTTTTCCTCACTCAGAGCAGCCACACGCAGTGGCCGTTGACGCCGGAACCTCGGGCGGGGCCTTTTCCTACGAGGCCTGGCCAGAGCTGCCCAAGGTTTCTCCTCAATGAGAATCGATGCTGTCATGCTCTATGGATGGGAAAAAAGCAAGAAAATAAAAGCACCTGGTACAGGTTTCATGAGATCCATTCGGATTCGCTATGTCCCAAACCCGCTGCTGAATGCCATTTGTCCACTTTGTGTGTGCTGAACAGTTCGCGGCCTAGGAGTGGGTCTCAATTCGAAGAACTGTTATTGGACGCCCCCGAGGTCGATGCAATAGCAGCTCCAGCAGGGCTACTCGTGGAGACCGACTTTCGGATGTGAGGCAGCAAGTAGGGGTCACAGGCCAGCTGCTGGACATCGATGCGGTCCTCCTTTCGGTAGGCTAAGCATCGTCGAATAAACGCCTGAAAGGAAAGGTTCTTGAAGAAGCCTGAGGCAGATTATCCTGGTGCCCCCAGAGGGAACCCTGAGGCTCTGTAGTGGCTGCCAAGGCCCAGCCCCAGAGCAAATGTCTTCTACAGAGAAGGGGCTCAGGGCCCTTCCCAGAAATCCCCGGGCACACCCAGACAGGACCAGGCAAGGAGACGCGTGGGCAGCCGCACCTCTCTCTGGCCACGGACTATTTCCCCGAAGGAGGCAGCCAAGCCATTCCTGAGGGGGAATGGGGCATGACCCGACCTCTAAATACCTCTGCCCCCAGAGCACAAAGACCAACACAAAAACCACTCTCTCTCTGCCTTGGCCGGTTTACCCGGGCACGTCTATCTTCACGGTCCTGCGTGTACAAACCATGGCCTCACATGAACTTTCTACTTCCTGAGGAAGTGAAAACTGCGATGACAGGCCACCACCACAGGCAGGGTGAGGAGACCCACACTTACTAACACTACAGTGTGTCACAGATAGGTAAATGCTTCCCGTGTATCTCATTCTTCCTTGCAATGATCAGGCACACACCTAAGTGGTAAAGGAAAACCTGAACAGGACTGGTCTCCCCAAGAGTACTGCAGACATAGAATCATACTGTTGAGTTGGGTTTCATTCAGAATCCTAATGTACTACCAACATGGAAGTTTCCTTTGTGCTAGGTATGAAGGGCTACACAGGCTCAGTTTCTACAATTCTTATCACAAAGGCCCTTAAACAGATGATCTATCTTTTCCTATTTTTTAACCAGACCTATTTAATCAGAGTCTTGTAATGTAATTATTTAAATAAATAAATTGATTTTTAAAAATCTAAAATGTCATTATCACCCTCAGGCCATACTTTACATTTGGGTGATGATAATGTCGCAATGTAGGTCCATCGATTATAACAAATGTCCCACTCTGGTGCAGGAGGCTGTGCATGTGCAGGAATGGGGAATACATGGAAACTCTCTACTTTCTGCTCAATGTTGCTGTGAGTCTAAAACTGCTCGAAAAAATATAGCCCAGGGGCGCCTGGGTGGCTCAGTCGATAAGCGTCTGCCTTCAGCTCAGGTCATGATCCTGGGGTCCTGGGATCGAGCCTCACATTGGGCTCCCTGCTTGGAGGGAAACCTGCTTCTCCCTCTCCCTAACTTGTGTTCCCTCTCTCGCTGTGTCTCTGTCAAATAAATAAATAAAATCTTAAAAAAAAAAAAAAAAAGAAAAACCAATGTTTAAAAAAATAAAAATATAGTCTAACAAAGTCTCTTAAAAAAAAAAAAACCACAAAACACCTAAAACAAGATGTAATGATTTTCTTTTTCCATGTTTAATTAATAAAAACCAAAAGTACAGCAACAATCCTGGTTTTCCAAAATCAAACACATCTATAGGTAGCTGCCTGATTAAAGTATTTGGAAGATAAAAACAAACTCACAAAAATAAACTTAATAATCCTTGGCCTTTAAAAACGAACCTTTCTCAGTGAGATATGACACGGGAGTTAAATGGGTTACCTCGAGTTGGACAGCATAGTTACTGGTCAAATAATTCCACCTTGAATTTTCTCTCCACACAGCCGCCAGGGCAGGCTTTTGAAACAGGGATCAGATCACACAGCTGCCCTGAGTAAAACCTTCGAGTGTTTCCCATCTGTCCTGCTGCCTCTCCCACTGATCACCCTCCCCTCCGCTCTCTGCTCTGTGGATCTGCTAAGCTTGCACTTACATCTCAGCTGCACACACTTCTCTGCTTGGACTATTCTTCTTCCAAATCTACACATGGCTCCCACCTTCACATCACTCAAGATTGTTCATTGGTCACTTCACCACTGAGGCCGTCCCTGACCAGGCCATCATAAAAGGAGTTCTGGCCCCTCCATCTTCTTACTTGCATTTATTTTTTACCATCTGAGATGGATCTGTTGCTAGTTATTGTTTGTCTCACCTGCTGGAACAGAAACTCCTAACAGGCAGGGACCCCATCTGTAGTTCATTGCTACACACTCGCCATTATTCCCTCTCTGCCACCTAGACAGGGCCTAGTTCTCACCAGGCACCCGAAGCAGTTATTGTAGGAGGAGAGGGGAGAACAGGATTCAGAATGAGGAGGTTCTGAATGACTCCTGACTTTTATACTGATAATCCATCCACTATTACCCAGAGAAATAATACAGTCATTTCCTGCTGGCCAGTGGGTCTCAACTTACCTTTGCTTCTGGTGTTACTACTGGCTTTGGCGGGAACTGCACTTCAGTAGCTTTAAGAATAGTATTTTCTTGTAGAATGTCTTGCTGGGACTGGTTGTGGCCAAAAGGCTATCATACAAAAACAAAACAAAGGTGGGCCTCTGGTTAAAATTAAAGAGAACACAATTCAAAACCTTAAGGAAGGGAAAGAAAACATGCCTCAGTGAGAACTGCTAGAAAGAACTTTGGAGGGGCGCCTGGGTGGCTCAGTTGGTTAAGCGACTGCCTTCGGCTCAGGTCATGATCCTGGAGTCCCAGGATCGAGTCCCACATCGGGCTCCCTGCTCAGCAGGGCGTCTGCTTCTCCCTCTGACCCTCTTCCCTCTCGTGCTCTCATTCTCTCTCAAATGAGTAAATAAAATCTTAAAAAAAAAAAAGAACTTTGGAGATGGTCTCTTCTAACTCTCTCTTTTTATAGGTGAGGGGTAGAAAGGCTCAGAACTTAATAACATGCTCACAGGACAACATCAAGGTTAAGGCAGAACTGGGACGGGAAGCAGCATCTGTCATATCACGACACCTCTGTTCAGCTTTGCTTACAGCCAAGAAAAAGAACATTCCAGAAGGAACCAGCAACCTCTTCTCCCCTGAGTGATACCTGTAGGCTTAAGTAATACATATGCATGCCACTGGCAGACCCAAGACACAGGTAAAGAGAGATGGAAAAGGAAGTAAAAGAGAAGGAGTAAGTACAAAGGGGGGGGCTGGGGCTATTTAACAGCTTCATCTGTACCCCAATGTGCTGTTTTCTTTTCTTTTGCCCCCCCAAAGATTTTATGAGCATGTGAGGGTGGGGGGTGGGGAATCTTCAGCAGCTTCCTCGCTGAGCGAAGAGCCTGATGGGGGGATCCATCTCACGACCCTGAGATCATGACCTGAGCCAAAATCAAGAATCAGATGCTTAACCGACTGTGCCACCCAGGAACCCCAATTTTCTAATAAAGTCTTAAAATACAAGTTCAAGCCTAGTGTCATCTCTACAGTGCTTGTACATAACCCCTACCAACATTATCAGCAGCACTTCCACATTATCAGAGAATAAGTAATAATTAACTCCTCCGGGGGCGCCTCCCTGGCTCAGTCAGTAGAGCACGCAACTAGATCTCAGGGTTGTGCGTTCGAGCCCCATACTGAGTGTAGGGATTACTTAAAAATAATAATAATTAACCCCTATGGCTGGTTCTGAATCATTTCCCCATATTAGAGAGGTAAGATAAAGAAACAAAGACCAAGGAGAAGTTAAAGAGGAAGATGAAATCTGAACGAAGAGCTTGGTTTGGGGACTGTAATAAAAATATTAAGAGTCCGAGGGAGTTGCAGAACTCCCAAATGGCTTATACCCACAACCTACACTGTCAGGACCACCAACAAACTTCAGTTATTTATAACACACTGACAGCAAGAATTTGAGTATACACACACCGGATCCTAGTATGTATGTTTATTTATAAGGTAGTAGGCTCATAAGGAAAACACAAACGTGAAAATTCATTAGGTATAGTTTACTACCTAGGTTATTATGTGTCCAAATGATCTATCACCTTGATCCAGAGGTAATAGACAGTGAATACTTTCTAACACTATACCTCCCTAGTACAGAAAATAGAAAGCATGCTTTTATTAATAATAGCTTTAACTAATGGGATGGCTGGGAATAAAGAGCCCTGTAGATATTTCAAGTTTCAGTTCTTGGGACCTTAAAGAATGGCTCCTGGAATGATTGTATACTTTAAATAAACTATTTCATATAATTCCTTGTATATATTATCAGAAACAAAACATACCCTGGATCTAATTGAAAACAGCAAAAACGCATGTTTTCAATAGCCCAGTGGAATTCATTAAGTACTCTAGGGTTGAAAAGTTCTGCTTATGCATAAAGCTTTTATTATTGTCTGTATTTTCTTCAAACCACAACTTTCAGGATTCCATTCTGTATAACCAAATGATTAATTCCAAGAGAATAATCGACACCATGCCAGTGTGTACATGCAGCCCAAGACAGACGTCAAGCCACCACATCTGACCTTCTTCCTTACCTTCCTTCCATAAAGACACTGGTAGAAGATCACACCCACTGACCAGACGTCAACTTTATTTGAGATCTTTGGTGGCTCTTTCCCAACCACAAAACACTCTGGTGGTAAATACCTGGGACAAAAGGAAAATAAAAATTCTTAGAAAAATGACTGTATAAATCTAGGACATGTACAAAAAGGCAGAGTAGGAGACCTTATGGGAAATTAAAACTATCTGAATTTTAACTGAAATTTTGCCAAAAAAGCAACTGGGCCTAGCTGGGTAAAGTCAGCGAGAAGATACTCTAACTTAAGGAGGCAGTCATGTCCTAAAAGCCTTAAAATACACTTCTCAATTCACTGAGAGGGGCAAATATTCCCCCTAGTCCCTGCTTCACCCACCCCAGCATCCTTTCCCAGGGTTGTGCCCTAATATAAGTGTCATTCAACAAGTTCCAAAAAGGAGGGACAACACAAAAGAAGCGCATTCCAACTTTTATGAGCTGCAGCAACAAACATCCAAATAGAATTCGAAGTGGTATGGGTTTGCTTTCATGTTGGCTAAAAAAGAGGACTCTCTAAAATAACTATCTTCAAAGTCTGAATGAATTCAGGACCCCGTATAAATCTCTGAGAGGACCGGCTGTCTGCCTTCTTAAAGTAGCCTCTTTGCAAACTCTAGACTGGGAGTACCTAAAACCTATAATAAATGGTGATATTACAGTCCAAATTATCAAAGGTATTTTACATTTCCCACTCAAAGGACGATCAGGGGCTTACTGGAAGTCTAACAAGTAGGGGAGAAAAAGCCAAACAAACTAGTAGTTAGCACAACTCAATCCTCATCTGAATTCCTTCCCTCCCCACCCATCCCTGGCCTCTGAAAAAGACTAGCTGGGCAGCCAACCACACCAAATTGTATAGTGTGGAAGGTAAGGGCCTCTTTGCATTTAGGAAACCCAACAAATATGCTTCCACTCATTGCCTGGGGTCTTAGCCATGGCGCAGCTGGAAGGCAGCATTCTGAAGATAACAGATTGATTTCTACAGATTTCATGCTGGTAAAATCAATTCTGTGAAAAAATTACTTTAGACCCTGCTGTGCTTCTGGTATAAAAATCTAAACTTACAACTTGAAGGGGGCCACAAGAATTGAGAGGAAGAAAATATTGGATGATGGGCTTTTTTCTTTTTTTAAAGAAGTTTAGTCTCATGTTGCTTCTTATTATTTTTAACAGACATTTTGGGATGATTAAGACCACTGACCTACATTATTGTTTCACAATGAAAACTGTTAGCCAAAACACACACTGAACTTATGAAGAGGGGAAAAAAAAGCAAAGAAATAAAAATAAAGGAAAAAGAATAAAAAGAACAGCTCTCCCAAATGCCACTAAAACCTCTCTGAACCCGACTTTTCATAGTTCTTGATTCTTCAACATACATAATTTAAATATGATGTTGGATAAATAAAAATAGAAACTTGATTCTAAAATGATCATTTAGTATTTACAACTCTTTTGTGGAGGTATTAGGGAAGGACAGAAACTGTTGAACTTATCCAAATGCTGAGTAATAATTTACCCAAATATTCAGAGTACAAAAGACATTGATAAAAAAAAAAAAAAAGACACTGCCACTGGATAGTACAAATCTGGAAAATCACTTTCTAGGTCTCAGTTTTCCCATGTGTAAATGGAGAAATAAACTAGTTCTTCATCCAAATAATACTGAAAATAATAAGCGCTCTAATTCCCTATTGAGGACTTCAGGAGAGAAAAGACAGTTCTAAGACATTGCACTAAATTGTGTTTAAAAAACAAGTTGCATATTCCATCATGATAAAATCGTCATAGGGAAGATTCTCAAGGCCTAGTCTACAGGTCATTTATTTAGCAGTATTCAGGGTGCCTGACTGGCTCAGTCAGTGGAGCATGCGACTTTTTTTTTTTTTTTTTTAAGTGTGGAGCCTGATGTGGGGCTTGTGAAACCCTGAGATCAAGACCTGAGCTGAGATCAAGAGTAGGCCGCTTAATCAACTGAGCCACCCAGGCGTCACAGAGCACGTGACTCTTGATCTCAGGGGCGTGCATTCGATTCCCATGTTGGGTGTAGAGATTACTTAAAAATAAAATCTTAAGGGGCGCCTGGGTGGCTCAGATGGTTAAGCGTCTGCCTTCGGCTCAGGTCATGATCCCAGGGTCCTGGGATCGAGCCCCGCGTCGAGCTCCTGCTTGGCGGGGAGCCTGCTTCTCCCTCTCCCTCTACTGTTCCCCCTGCTTGTGCTCTCTCACTCTCTCTATCAAATAAATAAATAAAATCTTAAAAAAAAAAAAATAAATAAAATAAAATCTTAAAAGTAGTATTCAATGTAGAAGAATTCTACCAAATACTGCAACAACCAAAATACTGCAGTCACCTAGACTTTGTTGTCTTCCCATCCTGTTTATATCTCTGCAGACATCACAAGAGGATGACATATGAGGAGGGTAATTATGATAATGCTTCTACCAACACGGAGACTCTGAAACCTTTATAGGAACCCATGGAATTAAATTTTCTCAGTAGCCTCCCTCTCTACCACACCTTTTATTATGAAACCAATCTTCAAATATAATCTGAAGTAGACAGTAAAACTAACACCCAAGTAACCATCACCCAGTTTCAGTAAGTATCAACATGGGGCCAATCTTTGTTCATGTGCCCCTCCCCCACCAAACATTACTTTGAAGCAAATCCCAAACATAATTTTTGTTTAAATTTCAAACACTAAATTTTTAATAGCTTAGCAAATATAGCAATAGGTGGCAATGAGAAAACTAATTTAAACGTTATTTAGCTTCACTTTTTAAAAAGAACTACAAAAAAAAAAAGCTAAAATCTAAGTTCTAGTGAATTTATATAGCAGAGGTATAGACCTGTTTCCAGAATTTCCAACAACAGAGATTTTTGTATCATTTAGAGACAGGAACACTAACCCACAATAACCACCATAGTAAATAAACACTGTAAATGTAGCTTCTATTTTAAACCTAGAATCTCAAAGTTTTAATTTAGGGACTGATTTTCACTATAGGTACCATCGCCACAAAAAATAAGGAGCAATGAAAAGTAGAAATTTTGTGCACATGGTGTTTTTCTCAGGATGTGACGGTTTCTCTAACATACATAACTTACATATGATCAGACCGATGAGCAAAGAGCTCATCTTGTGGGTTGTGAACGAACTCCCCCTTCTCTGTTTGCTTCCAACCCACACCCTCATTCCCAGGCAGTCACTATTCTGCTAAAGCCCAGGGCCCTCCAGTGTCAAAGATAAGAGACTGACCAACAGACCCTGGGATTTAACAGCATGTATGACCCCTCCCTGAGTGCTGCTGGAGGCTTTCTCCATGTTGGAATCACATGTCCAATATGTAGCTTTGTGTTACCACCTCAGAAGTGAAAAGGAAGCTCTGTTAACACGCCTTTACAATCACCAAGTTAAATGCTTGGGCTGCAGGTATCTTTTACGGTTCTCGCTGTCGAAAGGAATACTAGGCAGAAGTAGGAGAGGTCACAGAGCTAGCTGGGGTAGGATGGTTGCAGGGAGATGAGTGACAACAGATGGAAGATAGGTGGCCCAAAACCGTTTAGAGCATGGCTGAGGAGATGGATAATTTTCCTGGCAAACTGTACTTTTTTCCTGTTTAGATTTCAAGGGATGCTGTGGTTACTTTACATATTGATCTTTCACAACTCCTTAGTTTTCGACAGTCCATCATCCTCAGGCAACTCTAGAGATTAATCCCTCATCCCACTGATGCATAGGAAGAGACCTGCAATGGGGCACCTGGATGGCTCAGTCGGTTAAGCGTCCAACTCTTGATTTCACCTCAGGTCGTGATCTCAGGGTTGTGGGACTGAGCCCCGCGCATCAGGCTCTGCGCTGAGTATGGAGCCGCTTAAGATTCTCTCTCTTTCTCTCCCTCTCTCCCCCTCTTTTGGGAAAAGAGAGAGAGAGAGAGAGAGAGAGCTGCATTTGTATTGAAAATAATTTAGGGCCATTCTTTAAATACACATGAGCAATCTCATTCTCTTCCTACTCCGTAAGGCAAGCCCTAGGAAGAAACACACAACTCCAACGCCTGGCCATATATAACCTCTCTCAATGGTTTCCAAAAAAGGAAAGAAAAATTAATTAAATACAGAGTCGAACTGCCAGAAAGACAGTAATATTTGGGGAGGAAAGTCTACTTTGGTTTACAGCATTTTTGCCTAAGACAGGATGTAGATATTAATTATCAATTACCAATATTTCAGTATAGCACAGCCTTATCTCCACCAGCCAACCTGGCAGATCTCCCAAATACCTACCAATAAGTACCAGCACCTTGTGATGTTAGCTCCATGCCATCCACTGAATTGTAGCTATCATCATCCATGATCTTGGAAAGACCAAAATCTGTGATTTTTATCTCTCCACATGCTGTACCATTTACTAAAAGAATATTACCTAAAAAGATGAAAACCTTCATGAATAAAAAGAGACTTACTAATTAAGAGAAAAGTTCAAGGTAATAACAGACAAGAAGGGGACAACTGAACTCAAACTCTTGTACATAATAGCAAACATCTAAATTCCTGGAATAAAATGATCTGGACTCTGGATGCTGGAGGACAGTCCTCAGTGTCTGGCTGCAAACTTGCATTTTCCAAGAATCACCTGCTAGATGTGCCAAAACCACCACTATGAGCAGTGGGAAAAAAATAGTAACTCGCCAAAGTAAAATATCACTTGGACAGTTGGTTAAAAATGGTGGGAAAGTTTCATCTGAACTTTCAGTAACGCTCTCCAAACCACCCTGTTTAGAACAGTCGTTTCAGGACAAAAAAAACCCAACAAAAAACAAAAAACCCAAAAAACAAAAAACACAAAAATATACAAGGGAATCAAACCTAGTACCACAGTGCCACCTACAGCTCCTACACCAGGAAAATGTACTGGATTCAGCGATGGAAAACCCAATCACACAATGGCCATCGTTTTAAAAATCACTTTGTTGTAATGAATTTTTTAGTCATTTGAACTGTATTAGAACATTAAAGAATAGTATAAATAGTGAGATTTAATATGCAGCTACCAGGAGAGGAAAGCAGAGTTAACAACGGCGCCCACCAGGCGGTAAGTGGGAACCATCTTCCGAACACCCCAGCCAAGCTGGTGCCAGCTATCTACAGAGAACATACACAGACTTCTGGAAAACCAGCCCACGATGACGACAACAAAAACAGAGGTAAGAAGTTTAACCGCCCTCTACTGTTCGCTAAGGTCTACTTAAGTTTACATAGTAACCATACAAAAAGATGAAAAACTATTGGGATTTAATGAAACAGGAGGTGTACCTACAAAATAACTTGTTCATCTGGGGGCACTTATCAAGGAGACCTGGAGGAGAGGAAGGGCTACGCAGTGTGAGTAATGGGAAAAAAACAAAGCTGAGCTTGCCAGAGCAGTTCTTTCTAAATCGGCTGACATCATGAACTGCCCTGGCTCTAAAGACAAGGGCATTGTTTCTTCTGAGTATTTAATCCGACGCCCCTTCTCAAGCCCAGCGCTGTGGGGCCAGGACTCTGTTCCCACACCTGCCTGGGCAGAGCCAGACGCTACCAGGCTTCCAGGCTCTCTCACATTCTCTAACTTTGTAAAATTACAAGTCACTTCAAAGATCAGAGAAAAGCCATCAATACAGTCACCTAAAAGTCAGACATACCTGGTTTGAGGTCATAGTGTATGATGGGAGGTTTTATTTCATTTAAGTACTTTAAAGCATTCACAATCTGCATGATAATGGATCGGGCCTCTTTCTCCGACATTAATTTGTGCTGTTTCAGGTAGAAGTCCAGATCATTTCCCTCACAGTATTCTAATACTGTACAAAACCTAAAGACAAATAAAATGACATTTGACTGTGGCAAAGAGCAAGCAGATTAAGACTTCTTAAACCAGCCCCAGTGAAAACTTCAGGTAATTAGCTTCTTGCTCTGTTCTTCTTCATTCCTTAAAGTAGCGTTCTATTCTTTATTCAGTAGTAGCTACCTGAGTGGTTGACGGGAAGGAAACTGCATTCTCCCCTGGTGAAGAGCCTTCACACCCTCCACACCAGAATCTGTTGTGCTACAGTGTACCCATGACATTCCAGACTATACGAATACGGACAAGAACTGTAATGTACCTAAGCTAGGGATCTTTTCAGAAGGGTCTCCCACACATGCCGTGCTCCAGTTCTAAACAAGCATATTGTGGTCAAGTACACAATTCTCAATGCAAACATTTCATATTACCCCGAGTGCTGACAGTAAGAAAGAATCTAGGGTTTGCTCAGATCCCAAGAATTGGTTTCATGTCATATCTCATGGCAATTTGGCACAATACTGTACTATAATCTCTCCTTGCTAAATACAAGGTGTAAAAGAAGTTCTAAAAGCACAGTATTGGGATGCCTGGGTGGCTCAGTCGGTTAAGCATCTGCCTTCGGCTCAGGTCATGACCCCAGGGTCCTAGGATGGAGCCCTGAGTTGGGCTCTCTGCTCAGTGGGGAGCCTGCTTCCCCCCTTCCCTCTGCTTGCTGCTCCCCCTGCTTGTGTACTCTCTCTCTCCCTGTCAAATAAATGAATAAAATCTTTAAAAAAATAAATAAAAGTACAGTATCTGTGGTTCTAACAAATGTGTTATTACATAGTATGAGTTTTTTCCTCCACTTTTATCAATACATATACAGACCCAAATTTAAAACTACATACCATTTGTAGCATTAAGGGTCATGCGTCTAGCTTCCAAGGCAGTTATAAACCAAAGTAAGGCTTCCTGAATTGTTTGAGTATTCCTGAGAGATGAAGACCTTTTAAACTATCCTAAGCTGTGACAATGTGGGTGTTATCACTCAGGATCTAGTCAGGAAATAAAAACCACCTGAGTATTTAAAACAGAGAGGTTCTGGGGCGCCTGGGTGGCTCAGTCGTTAAGCGTCTGCCTTTGGCTCAGGTCATGATCCCAGGGTCCTGGGATCGAGCCCCACATCGGGCTCTCTGCTTGGCAGGAAGCCTGCTTCTCCCTCTCCCACTCCCCCTGCTTGTGTTCCCTCTGTCGCTGTGTCTCTGTCAAATAAATAAATAAAATCTTAAAAAAAATAAAAATAAAAATAAAAATAAATAAAACAGAGAGGTTTTAATTCAGGGCCCTGATCACATGGATGATGGAAGAGCTGAGAGGGTAAACTGGCCAGTGAGGCACCCCAGAGATCATCTAGACAGGAAGCCATTAGCACCCTAGGGCCAGAGGGCCAGATGACGGAGATGGTGCAACCAGAATGTAGGGTCACCGAGAGAGACTGGAATCACAGTGGGGGCGGGTGTGTGTGTGTGTGTGTGTGTGTGTGTCTACCTCCCACTATCTCTGTCTCCGCAGTGGCTGACCCCAGATGAACAACAACTGACACAGGAGCCTGGTCAAACAGATGACAAGGGTCAACTCACCTAAGATGCAGAGCAGGAGAAGGGTGAGGAGCAGACCTGAGAGCAAACAGGCTCAGGACTAGCACTATGGCCCCTGGGCAATTTGAGGCCTTCAAAAAGCACCGCAATGAAAGGTGCACATACATAGTTCTGTGGGATGCCTGAACTGAACAGCTTATGTTTCTTATGAAACATACAAGGGCATGCTAGCACCCTATTTGAGGATAAATATCAAAAACTTATAGATTCTCTGATCTGAGACACAGACTCTCGTGCTTAGTCGATGTATTCTTTGGCCCAAGTGCAAGCTTAAAATAAAATCTCACTTTAACACCCAAACAACTCTCAGAAGATTTTCTAAAATGATGGTGAAAATTCACCATACACACAACAGGAGGAACAAAATAAATTCAAGAATAGCACACAACCAAGTCAATTCCTCAGATTAGTTAAAAGTGTATACACAATTCAAAACTGCAAATAACCCAAGTCATATTTATTTTTGAGATTTTTTTTGTACTTACATTTTGAGGGGTGGTGGTGGCGGGGGTGGGGGCAGTCTACTTAGTATTCAAGGAATTTACTCAAAGCAAAAAGGTAAGACCACCCTGTGAAGACCTGTTCTGTACCTAGATATTCATCTGAACCCCATCCATGCTAACCACACACTGACTATGCCAGGTTTGAGGACCACCCTTCTGGAAAGGGTACATCCCTGAGCAGGTGGAAGAAGGGATTGTTCACATTTCCAAAGGGAGTTAAGGTCTCCCCCTTTTGGAAACATTTCTAAATGTGGGAAAGTTCTCGGCAGAGCAATCTCTGAGACAGCTGCTGTCTGGAATAGGCCAAAACGCCTAGAATCACCCTGCAAGGCGAAGAGAAACACCTGCTGGCCAGACCCTACAGTATGTTCTCCTCAGCTCAGACTCCTACAGAGAAAACGTTTCCAAATGCTGAAATATTTCTGAACCCCTGGATAAACCCAAAGGTGACAGAGCTCATCTATACCAGGTAATGAAATACAACAATGCCTAAGAGTACTAAAGATCTCAAGCAAGTCCTTTAACTTCCCTGGTCCACAAATTTCCATCTCTACGGTGGGAAGGCTGAACTGAGATCCCTCCCACCTCTAACCTCCTACATGCCTGTGAGGCTCGATTTCATGGGCAGCACTGGGTTACGCCTTCATTTGTGCTATGATAAAATCACACTGCTGGTCCTTCCTTGAAAGATCCATCACTGTTCATCAGAATCTCCAGCTGGGGCAGAGACTCTTGTATAGTCCACACTCACTGGTGAGTGTCAGAGGTAGCTGGCACCAACTTGTGACAGTTACCAAGAGCCAACAGTTAAATCACTAAGCCACTGGTAGGATGAATGGACAAACAAAAGGTCGTATAGTCATACAATGGAATATATTTGGTCCTAAAAAGGAATGAAGTACTGGTAACATGCTACAGTAAGGATGAACCTTGAAAACACATCTTGTTAAATGAAAGAAGCCAGTCATAAAAGTCCATATACTATGAGTCATTCATATGAAAGTCCAGAATAGGAAATCTATAGAAGCAAAAAAAAAAAAAAAAATTAGTGGCTGCTTAGGGCTGGGGTCAGGGCAGGGGGAGAATAGGGGAGTGATAGCAAAAAATATGGGGTTTCTTTCCGAGGTAGTGAAAATGTTCTAAAAATGACTATGGCGATGATTGCACATATCTGTGAATATACTACAAGCCTTGAATTGTATACTTTAAATGGGTGAACTATATGGTATTTAAATTATATCTCAATAAAGCTGGATGTATATTTTTTTAAGTTAGTAGCATGAAACCAGACGTGTTGAGAAATTCATTAATCACAGAAACTGTTGAATACTATGAATTAGCCCTATCCCCTCCCCACCGAGCTGGTTGTTAAACATTTACCAGCACACCATTACACATATCCTGTGGCTAAGAGATGTATTGCTGGCCCAAATGTGAATTCACACAGGATCATCTGCCCAGAAATAAATGGACTTGGTTCCCTCAGAGGTTATTTCCTCGACCCAGATTGAAACTCTAATCCATGAGTAGTCAACACACTGCAAGAGACCAGTATCAACTGCTAAGCTAAAACAGCACAACACTTACGAGTCAGTGTCCAGTGAAAAGTAATCATACAGCTTAACTATCCTGGGATGATCCAGTTCTTTGTGAATCCGGTATTCCCTACATGCATGCCTGTAAACAAAGTGGAAAATTAACATTTCGTATTTTGGACGGTCTTTCAGACCTCTTCAAGGATACGCCTACATATTCTCTCATTGCTCCTTATTTCTGCCTATGCATTCCATTCAGGTCGGCTGGCCCCCCTATCTTTCCTCATCCTATTTTTACTACTGGTGTCTACCAAGCTGTTGAGAAAATAGCAGGTGCTCAAATATTTGTTGAATGACTAGATGTCAACCTTTTATCCCTTTCAAGTTCATTCTATCACAATCTCACCTCTTTGATATTTATACCCAAATAGCAAAGCTTTAAAAATTATAAAGACAGTTTTTTCTCTCCCTTCAAAAGCTGATACTTCATATCTATAAATGTTTATATCCTGGGGCTACATCAAGGAGATCAATTTTGGCAATAAACTGCTTGGGTAAAAGGATTACAGATTATATAAGGCAATTAGCAGTGCTTTGTATTTGTTTGTTCTAGAATTCTCCTTACAAAAAGAATTTAAAGGGCTATCAGCTTTACTTTCTTCTAAGAAAATATGAAACTGATAAAAAAAATTATGGAACCTGGGGCCTAGGTGGCTCAGTTCGTTAAGGGTCCAACTCTTGATTTCAGCTCAGATCATGATCTCAGGGTAGTGAGATCAAGCCATGCACAGTGAGGAGTCGGCTTGGGATTCTCTCTCCCTCTGCCCCTCCCCCTCGGCATGTGCGTGCATGCATGTGTGTGCGTGTGCGTGCACACACACTCTCTCAAATAAACAAATCTTTAAAAAAAAGAAAATTACTGGGCGCCTGGGTGGCTCAGTTGGTTAAGCGACTGCCTTCGGCTCAGGTCATGATCCTGGAGTCCCGGGATCGAGTCCCACATCGGGCTCCCTGCTCGGCAGGGAGTCTGCTTCTCCCTCTGACCCTCCCCCCTCTCATGTGCTCTCTCTCAAATAAATAAATAAAATCTTTAAAAAAAAAAAAAAGAAAATTACTGAACCCTAGTTTTCTTGGAATGAGAGTTTACATATACATATTAACATCTTTTTTTTTTAGTGCTTTTCCAATTTAAAGTCATTTAATAAGATTAGGAACAAAACAAATTATATAATTTCACATATTCACTGAATTTTAAAAGAACTACAGAACAAATTTATTCAATATAATTACCAATAATTTTTGAAGTATTTAGTTCTTATTTACGAAGAGAGCAACAGAAAATTTTTCTATTTTAAGTAAGCTACCACCATTTAGTTTGGGGCATTTTCTTATAAGGCAGAGTCAGAAAAGAGAAACTTTCCAGAGTATGGTAAAATAAAACTAAGATGATGTTTTCTGAAACTGGTGTATTCCAGTATGTCAAAGATGCACAGAAAGTACTCAACTAAAGAAAAGCTGAGGAAACAAGCAGGACAAGGAGGAGAGAGGAATAAGAATCTAAAATTAATTAAACACGTTTTTCCCGGGTAGAAACTGTGTTTGACTACTAAGCTTATTTTTTCAAGCTGCCACTTTTTACAGTTTTTTTGCTTCTTCTAATACTTCATTTCATCATCTTTATGTCTTTCTGAAAAGAAAAGACCTGCCAGCACTTAGGCAGAGCAGTGTTAGGACACCCACTACACTGGGACCTGGAAACCTGGCCCCGAGTCCCAGCTCTGTGACATCGCTTTTCGGGGCTTCCCCATGGGTGCACAGGACTGGAGGTTTCAAAGGACGCTTCCTGGAGATCCAGGCCTCCGGAGCCCTCTGTGCAGATGCTGAGCAAATGTAACTGTGGCCCAACCCCACATCCCACCTAAGCAGCGTCACACCTGTCTTTTTCAAATATCAAGATTCCGTGTAATAATTCATTCAGTAAAATTAAGGTGACGCTGTTCACAAAAACCAAGTTTAGAAAGCTAGGGACTAACTAGATAACCATTCAAGTCATTTCTTACGCTAGCACGCTAAAAATGTATAGTTCTCTGCCATTCTGTTTAAACTTTTTGATTTTGTCGCACATTTCAGAACAGAGACCAATTTCTCTATCAAGGTACAGAAAATAGAGGAAACTAAAGGAGGCAAACATTAAGAACCAAAGGGAGGGTCATTCAAAGTCCTTGTCAACCAAGGGCATTTGCTGTGAACACTGAAAGCCCTCCCTCAACATCATGTCAGGCCCTAAGCCCGCTTCTCGTGCTTCATCAGGCAAGCCAGGAGCTCTGCCACATCCCTCCTATGTTCAACTTGTAATTTAGCATCCGAGGGATTAATGCACAACAAATACAAAAACTGTAATTAGAAACTGGAAGAAATGTATCCACTAATGTGTTAGTTTTTTACTCTCCTGTAAATGGATGTATATTTAGGCTTCCAAAATGATTCTGTCCTAAAAAATTAGAAGAGTATCATACACAAGAGTATACTAACTAATTCAGATACAATTATTTCTGTGGCTTTATATGAAATGCTTCCTACTGTGGAGTTTTTAATATGTTGTTTGGGGGAGTTAAAGAAATCCTGTGATACTAATGCTTTAATAATGCAAAAGTAAAACAATTTGCTTTTTGTTTGTGGGGGAAGGAGAGGAAAGGAGGTGCAGAAGAGAACTCAAAATTAAACAAAACAACAACCTTTAATTTTGAGTTCTTCCTTCCTTTTTACCCAAATAAATGTCTTGATTCCAGATGGGACTGGGAAGTCACTCCCATGACAGGAAAAGCAAAGACACTACTATGCAGAAGAATAGTACCATTTTCATATTTTATAATGTTACCACAACACTGAAGTGAACCACTTTTTAGTTTAATACGGAATTTTTAAAGCACCCTCTAAAATCTGTTATGAGCTTCTTTAAGTTCAAAGGCATTAATGACATTTTGCTAATTCACTATTATCTATATAGCCTGTATTCATCAGTATGATTTCATATCAAGCAAAATCTTTCAAAGCAAGGTGGAGTGCTTATGAATTTCTCCCCAGGCGTGAATGGAAGTCACAAGAACTCTGCACACCCCCTCCCCCATGTGTTTTTTGGCTAGGAAATGGCCCCTGCAGAGACAGCTCCATAGAAGGTACTTGGTTGCCATGATTCCCACCTCCGGTGAGGAAACAGAGGTAGGACGGCACCACTGTGAGACTGCAGCTGGACCAGTCGAGAGCTTAGAAAAATGAGACAACCCCCTTCACTTGCGCTATGACTCCGCCTGGTAGAGAAATGTGAGACAGATCCCCAATCTCTACCCGCTAGCACTTGAAACAGCTTGCCAAATGTGTCACGGAGGCATACAGTCCCGGCTTCAATCCCTCACTGTTGCAAAAGGCTAAGGCAAGCAGCACCCCTCCTACAGTTACCACAGTGTTCCTTCCAGAGTTCTCTTTAGGGCCAGCCTAAAAGCTGGACACTGAGACCAGGCAAAGTATGGGTCAATCCCAACACAGGAACCATTTTCTCAAGGTTGACCAAGGCTGGCCCCTTGTGAAGTCAAGTGGTTTAGAGTGGTCAATGCACACATAAGATAGAGAACAGCCTCCAAGGAGAGCTGAAGAGCATTTTTAAAGAGAAGCATGTATAGTTCTAACACCCTTATGTACTGAGAGTCTCAATGTAATGGGGACATTTCTCATTTATAACTGGTCAGAACAACATGTGGTTTCCTTCTCTGCAGTGCTCCTGGCGTTCACTGTGGTATGCCATTCGTCCCCGCACGCCAAGTCACTGGAATGCACTTCTAATAAAGTAACTGCTCCTCAGAAGCATCTGGACTGCAGCTGCCTGTCACGTAGGACACACATGCAGGATGCCATGCATAAACCACACATCATCCCTTTGCCTACCTCTGCTAAGCCCTACTTCCCTTAATGCACAGGAACCCCCACTTCTCCAGGGCTGAGTGCCACTGCCAATCTGCACGGAAAGGAAGAGTTCCTGGCCCAGCCCGTAAGTAACAGGGGTACAGTAAGAGTTGCCCTGGTCCATGCCCCAAGAACCAGTTGATGATGTAGAAATGAGATTTAGCAGCCAATTAAAAAATGGTTACTTCAAAGTCCACTGCTTTTTTCCCCTCCAAAGTACTATTATTTATAAGAAAAAAAAAAAAACTGCTTTTAATAGAAAGGAGGTGGGTTGTTTATATCAAAAAGGG